ACACACACACACACACCGACCGCCAAGGTCTCTGCTGCTGCAAGTGCTTGCGGGCAAGTCTCCAGGCACGAAACGGGTGAGCAGTTGTCAGCGATAGATAATGGTGACAGTTCACGTTCTTCAGCAGCTCGTCAGAATATTATATAAGTGTCCCGCTACTACTCCACCCTTGGCTCTTTGCATGCCTGACAAGGCACGGGTTGTAAGTCAAAATATAGTCAAGCGTAAGTGCGTAATGCTCGAGTGTTCCAGAGCGGGTCAGGACATGTTGGTGATGCTGCGAAAGCAGTTTGGTCCTAGGATTTCAAGCAGGGAATTCGCTTGACTGAATGCCTGGAAACATGTTCTAGTTGTAATGAAAAAGCCTTGCGCTGAGATGGCAGCTGTCGATGCATCTACTGGAGCCTTGAATGCAATAGGATGGAACTGCTGATAGTTGTCTTGGCCTGGCGGGCATTGACTCCGTGCCAAGGCCAGTGCACCCTGTCTCGACTCGAAGGCTTTCTGCATCGCCATCGACGCCTGCGGACGCGGCAGCGCGTGGCTGAAGGCTCTCCGCTTCTTTTCCCTCGCGATCTCGGGCCCGGGCGGCGCGGACAGGGCCATCCTGAACGCCGCGGGCGCTGCCTGCACACGTGGGGGTGAATGGCAGAGGGCTTTGCACATCTTGTTGGGCACCCGCATGGGCGCCCCGTGTGACACCGTTACATATGGTTCTGCGATTGCAGCGTGCAGCCTGGGACGCGAATGGACACTTTGTCTTCTTCTTCTGCGCGAGATGTCGACGAGCTCGCTGGTGGCAAGTGCAGCCTGCATCAGCGCAGCAGTAGCCGCATGTGAGACTTCTGGAGAGATTAGCTTTTCTGCATGGATCAGTGTAGAAGTTGTTCAGAAGCTTGTAGAACCAAGCCGAGCACCGAGTCCCAAAGCAGTCGGAGTCGTAGTCGTTCCCTTCCATCTCGAGACGCCCTGATGTCAGGAAGGGGTCGCAGTGGATTCAAGCACTGTCATTATTGTATGCTGGCAGCAGCTCATGGAATGGAGCCTCGGTCGGGGCGGCGATGGCTACTCTTTGCAACACTTCGCAGTGGGAGAAGTCTTTGCATCTTCTGTCTTCGGCAGCCGATGCATGCTTCCTCGACTCGCCGGCTATTTCCTCAACGATCCTTGCATGTGAGCTGGCTCTGGCCTGGCGAGCCGCCTTCCAGCTTCATGATGAGACCTTGAAGGCATTCAAGGCAGGCAAGGGAGGCCAGGTCCTGGACACCACCGCGCTCCTGGCACCCACGAAGTGTGGCTTGGCCCTGAGCTCGGGCTCCCAGAGCTCGTTGCAATGTGTTGCCGGCATCTTGCGAGGAGCGCTGGGGGGGGATGCCTTTGTCGAGCAGGAATCCACCTTAACCTTGCTCCTCCAGCTGAGCCTTCTTGCAAAAGGGTCCCCTCTTTGTCGGGCATTTCATCGACGAGTCATAGCGGCAGCGCGGCTTGAATTGGCAAGGCACCGTCCAGGCGTTTCTACATCAGTCATGCTGGCCGCTCTCGCAGACCTCGGGCCGGAGTACTCGCGCGAAGTCCTTTCTTGGGATTTAGGTGAGTCGTCAACACCCAGCTCCGGCCAGCAAGTTGCGGCCCGAGCTGTTTCCTCAAGTTTTCTGTCTGAGTCTTTGGCCTTGGTGTCACCAGTGCGTCCGGTGGCGCGTCGATTGCGGGCATGGCTCTCGGCCGGCCTGCTCCATCGTGGCGTGGGCATCGAGATTCAGGAAGTCATGCTGTCAGGTTTCTCGGCAGTTGTTGGTCTGTCATTAGCCTCCTTCCCACCACTTGTAGCACGAAAGAGCAGGAGAAAGGACACGAGGCAGGACGATTGGCAAGCTACGCGACAATCGGAAGTGTTGGAAGGAGACCAAACAAGCTCAGCAGGCCGGAGCGAGGCAGATGTTGCCGAGGGTAGGAGGTAAAATGCGCCCATGCGCACGCACTTACGTGTCCGAACGCAGAGGCAGACATGCATTGTATTGCGCAGCCAAGGTAGCGACTTCAAGCTTCGGACTTCTTGCAGTGAGCCGTCAAGTTGATCTTGGCCCTTTGAAGGGCTTGTTGACTCCATGTAGTCGCTTGCATCGGACAGTCAAAAAGGTTTCAGGGCCGGCCATACTCGTGCATGCTTCTCATTATTTCCTGTTGTGCTGCGCAGTGCTCAGACACTTCACGAACGAAGTTGATCTTCCACCTCCTTCCTTGCGGAACGATGGAAGGGCTTCACATGGGTTAGCTACAGAGCGTGGGTTTTCATGACATCCGAAGTTAGCAGAGCATGGCAGCTGGCCCTCATCTGCCACAGTTAAGCTACACTGACATGGTTCCTGGATATGGCACAGGGCCATGATCCACCGGTAAGGTCGCTTTGCGGCAGGTGGATGACAGACAGCGATGATAGATTCGTAGTCTTTGCCAAAGAGATGCTGCGAATCCCAGGCAAGCTGCCCGCGGCCGTGCCCACCGGACCAACAGAGCATAGTCTCTAGCGGTTGACGAACAAAAGAGCGCTTTGAAGGACTTCCAGTGAGAGCTCTGGCCCAGCCCAAGCCGACGGGAGCAGGAGCTTGCACGCGCCGTCGATTCTGAACAGCTGTGAGTCCACAGGTTGCCAGCCGGTGACAGTTCTGAAGCCGAGCCGCAAGCAGCGTCTGGTTTGAGGCGGCGCTGCGAAACACTAGTTCCTGTCTAACTCGTGAGGTGCCACCATGATCATGAGTTGTGCTAGAGTGTGGTTCCATGCCGTACCCTGCGGGGCTGACGCAAGTTGGTGCGCTGTAAGCCTTTCGAGTCGGCCTTGCGTCAGGCAGGCAGCACGCGGTCGAGCTCACCGGACTGACTTTGGCCAGTTTTTGTTTTGCCGTGGGCGATTGGGCGTGCTTTCGAAAGCAGAATGTCGCAAGGTCGTACTTTCTGTCTGGAAGGACATCGGACTGTGATGAAGAGTCTGGTCCGGCAGCTGCCGACAGGTGAGACTTTCTTTCTGTGTCGTGGCATGTGGAAGCTGGAATCTTGCACAGGTTGACGGTCGGTGAACGGAGCGAAGCGCAGACTCCGCCGAGCGTGAGGCAGCTTGTGACTGAGAAACATGCCTACCTGAATCGATGAGCTTCAGGCAGGCGGCACGCGGTGGAGCCCACCGGACTGGAGGGCCGGGGAATGCGCTGCTCCTGTGACTTCGGAAGCCGGACAGGACCTCCAGTGACGAGAGCTTTGGCCGCGCGGATGGCGGCAGGCGGGTCGGGTCTTGTGAGGCAGTTTGGGCCCTCGAGCATTTCTTGCACATTGCAGGCCATCAATTGCTGACCACGGTGAGCCTGAGCCTTATGACCAGCAGGTGTGGCGCGGCACATGCAATTGTCATGCCGTGGTAGCTGTAAATGTCCCTCTTTCTCTGAGGATGTTCATGCGCAGGACCTTGCGGACCGGTGCTTCATGCGTGTCAGCGCCAATCTAGTTAGTCCGGTCTCCGTGGGCCATCCACGCCCGGAGAGCTGGACAAAGACATGCGCCTCAACTGTGCGTCATGGAAGGACATCGAGCAGTGATGGAATTACTGGTTTGGCCGAGTGTGTCAGGCACGGTTTGGACTCTGCAGACTGCCTGTCTATAGGACGACCATAGGTCCGGCATAGGCGTGAGTCTGGGTCTGTGTATGCGTGTGAAGCATGCCCTAGGCAGCGCCACAGCGTGGAGCTGCGCCGGCGGAGGTCTGGAAGCGGCAGTGAGGACGACAAGCTGTGGGGTGAAAACTCTACGCCGAAGCAGAGCAGAACTGCGCCGGTATACTCTCAGGAGCTCCTAGACTTGGATCCGGTTCACAGCCTAGAGCTGGAAACGTTGGCCCGACGCCTCCTCACTTCAATTCCGAGCCGTGAGGACTGCACCAGGCTGAAGCTGTGCCTTTGCTAGTAGTACCCTTTCCCCATGTCTGAGGAGAGCCACTGTCGGACTGGTCCCTGTGGTTTGAAGAGCGCGGAAGTGCGACGGCGCCTCGCCAAGGACCCCCCTAGTCCTAGTTTCGGTGAAAAGATGGATCGTTTGATTCGTACCCGCAGCACCCGCCTCTCCAGGACGGCCCTAACATGCTTACACCACCAGATGTGGAAGCGCCCTTGGAGAAGTTCCTAAGGATCCGGTGCCCTTTTCTGTGTTGCCCATTGTTTCCTGCCATGCTTAGGCAACTGTCACAACATGGCATGTGCCTTCAAGTGCTGTCTTTTCCATAGGACTGCCTTCGCGGGTCTTCTGAACCTCCTGCTGTGGGCCTGTGTATTTGCAGAGGCTGCAGAGAAGTGCACTGCGCTCTGACTGTGCCTGTGCTGATTGCTGGCCCTTTTCGCACGCCTTTCCCTTCGCCAGTCAGGTGTGTCTACTCTTCGTCTACCCGGGCGAGAGGGACCCTGTAACACCGGCCATACTGTCACTGGTCATCCTGTGCACTGCTGCGCTGCAGTGTTACACGGAACTGAAAGCTGAATCTTCCATGGAAGCCCTCCGCAACATGCAGGCCGCCGAACTCGTAAGAACGACTCGTATGTCAGACGATGGACAGCGATTGGACCAAGAGGTGCCACCTACGGAGTTGGTGACCGGTGACATCATCTTCTTGGAGCCTGGTCAGCGGGTCCCTGCGGATGTGCGCATCATCCATTGCAGCACTGGCACGGAGGTCGACAATGCGGCACTGACAGGTGAGACGATACCTGAACCCCGCAGTGCCAATGCAGAGCTGCCTGCAGTGCCGGCCACAGAGGCCAAGGGGCATCTGAATTCGAGAGCATGTTGGGACAGGGACGGAAGGTGCCCCCTGACGAAGGCTCGCTGCCTGGCCTTCTTTGGCACCTCGGTGCTGAAGGGAACTGCAACCTGCGTCGTCTGTGCTACCGGTGATGGCACCTTCTTAGGCAGGGGAGATGTTCCCTCAGGTTTGCAACATGCGTGCAGTGAAGCTTGTGCCACAAGTAGGCTGCGTCGATGTCCTAAGTATGACTGATGACAGATACAAGTAGGAATGTAATTCCAGTACGCATTCCGTGTGAGGCTGGGCACTGCATCTGCTGCATGTACCGGGCTTGCCAACTGAACTGTTGACAAAGTGTGAGTTGGTTGACCGGTTGTCTGAAGTTTTAACACTGACGGCTTTCTTGACATTTGCGGATAGAGATGCACCGGACCAGACCCATGTTAGAAAGATCGGGACTTTGGTTCAGATGAGGGCTGTTTGGACATCAGGCCTAACCTTGCAGAATGCAGTGATTCTCACTCGGTGCTGATGTGTCTTGTCAGGCCAAATCGCAAACACCATGAAGAAGGGCTCGCCCCGTTCTTCGCTGGAAGTGCAGATGGAAAGTTTCGTGCTTCGACCGGCACTAAAATATAAAAGTAGGGATCTTGCAAAGGCGTGATTCTTGTACTTGAAACTGTTACTCAATCGCGGTGGGCCAGTGATGCTTTCGTGACGGCATTATGGACCGGAACCGCTAGGGCTAGGGCCGACCACAGCAAGATTTTCTTGAGTTGAACGGTGGTTAACCCGCCCCAATACTGATGCTGAGCTGGAAGGCCTGTTTCCTGTGTACTTTGCGTTGAAGGGGCCAAGACTCACACGATCCTGCACTCCCAATCTTCGATCTCCGAACGTGTTTCAACGAAAGCCTTGAATACCCGAGCGTGCTGTAACTGCGCAAAGATACAGGTCGCGCCCGCAAGTCCGAAATTCGTGGTTTGTTCTTTTGCACCTGTTGTCCCTCAGAGGTGCACACCATAGCAAAAGTTGCGGGTGGAGTCGCTGCATGCGTTCTCCTGGCCAATCTGCAACTTGGCGAGCTTTCCCGAAGTTCTTCAGTCAGTCTTCTTCAATGTGATTCGTCACCGACCCGCGTACACGTACACCTTGGTTGCTTGTTAGGCTTCATGCCACGGATTCTTCCGCTTGCCACATTCACGAAGAGAGAAAGACTAATGAATGACTGGTCGCTTGAATGATGGCTGGCTTACTGTGCGCAGCCATATCCTTGCACGTTGGAGATGCTTCTTTCCTTCCCTGTAAGGGTGCCCCCTTTGAACACAGAGGCCGTCAAGGCCAGAGCCAGCCCGCCATGGAGTCCCACTGCCCCCACTTCCAGCTCTTTGGCAGCCTTTGCCTGCACTTTGAACGTTTTGGCCGTGGGGAAGAAGGTGCTTCACCGAAGAAATTGTTTGCGGTCTCTCCTTGTTCGACCCTGCATGGCCAAGCTGCCGAAGCAATCCGAGCCACTGGCTTTGTCCGAGTGTGAGCATGACAAATCCGAGCCACTTGTGCACCCCGTCTTCGTTTCAGAGATGGTGCCACACCTGACGAGCAGCGGCCGCTTCGAGTTGGCACTCATTCCGGACCCAGACTTTCCGGACTGCCAGCTTTCTGTCGTGGTCAGATCTGGAGAGTTCCACAAAGGAGATCCTGCTTTCTTGGTGGTGGTCGGGGCTCAGCTTCCAGAGAACCTTGGAAAGGCCTCCGGCTGGGACGGGCTGCTGGCTGAGAGCGGCTTCGTGGTGAAGCCAACTCACTTCGGAAGACAATATTTGTCAAACGGGTTGCTTTTGCCAAGGTCTTTGGTCGAGGATTTTGCTCCGGAAGATGCATTACTTGACCCTCAAGCTTTGACGACAGCACTGAAAGTCGAAGGACCCCCAACTCGATTTCGTGCTCAGAGTTTCCTCCTGGAAGTTGCTGGGTTGAGCTTTTCGGATATCTTTCGATTTCCCACCGAACATTTGTTGTGGGAGGCTCTGCACATTAGTATGTATGGTTAACGAACAAAGCACAACGCAGGTTGGGTTCGATGGGTCATGCTACTATGGCTCGCAGAGCACGGGTGCTGAAGAGTCGCGCCCGACTGTGCTCGGTCAGATCATGCAAAGTGCCGAGAAGCTTGGCTGGGTTTGCGCGCAGCCGGGTTCGCGAACAAGTCGCAGCCAGTGGGCCTGCCTGAGCCGTGTGGATGCCGGTGCCAGCGCTCGCAGCTTCCTCCTGACAACACCACCTCTGCTCAAGCCGTTGGCGAACGAGTACAGCCCCGAGCTGTGTGACAGTTACGAGTAGGTTTCTATAGTGTTGGTGTGAGCCGCTTGGAAAATCACGAGTTGATATCGATTGTCATGTTGCTGCCAACATCATGAACCAAAAACAGTGAGCGAGCTTTCCTCCCCTGAGCCCTGAGGTTGCCAGGTCCAATCGAGGCAGCTCGTGCACTGTCCTCGGAGCTCCCGACCAGCATTCGCATTCATCGAGCGCTGCTTGCACCTCGGGGCGCACATCTGCGCCACACCCACAATGTGACCAGAGAATACGGGTATTTCTTTCCACTCCAATGGATAAAGGGGGACATTGAGGGCCTTCGCGAGATACTCCAGCATTTTACTGGGAACCATTGCTTTGCCAACTTCACGGAGTTGAAGAAGTTGGAAGGGCTGAAGAAGAAAATTCAGCGAAGTCCGCAGCTCCAATCATGGGCCCATAGCCTCCAGAGCTGGAAGCGGTCGAGGCGGGATGCCAACTACAGTGCTGACGCTGGAGCAATTTCATCCTTGCAGGTGCACGGAGCTATGAGAGCAGCGTGTGAGCGAACAGTTCTCAGGGCACTCGTAAAGAAGATCCCCGGAACCCGTTTGGCCTGCATCACCGTACAAGGTGATGGATTCCTATACAACATGGTGCGATATATTGCCGGCTCTGCTTTGGCCGTTCACTCCGGCAAGCTTGCTGCCGCCACGCTGCAAGCTGCTCTAGCATCATTTCTCGCAGTGGATCTTTCGGAACATCTGGCACCAGCAACGGGCCTTGTACTCCTGCGCCAGTACACAGAGGAGGCGTGGATATCACGGAGATCGCAGGAGGCCGAAGCATCTGCAGAAGATTTCATGAAGCAGCAGCTGCTGCCGAGGATTGAGGGGGCATGGAGGCGAGCGGAGAAACCGGACTGCACCACTGTGAGTATGCCGCATGCTCTGCGAAATTAAATCAACCAGTCGACCCCACTGTCCTCACATGCATGGTCAACCTCACGCATGGTCGACTAAGTTCCGACTGTTACATAGCATCTGGGGTCAGCCACTTCACGATCGTAAGGCAGCTGCTTGAAACATGACATGACCATTTTCAGCCAGAGTCCATGTTCGTTCATACTGGGCCTTTGTGATGTGGGGGAGACGTACCGGTTGAGGAGCACTAGTTTGAAAATGCATCTATCGTTTTCTTTCCGAGATTGTTCGTGGACCTCGTGAGCCTTTCAGCTTCAGGTTCGTTCTTTGGCTTGCAATTATGACAGCTCAGGCTGGCACCGAAGGTGCGAAGTGCTGCGGAGCCTTGGCACCCACGGAATGCCGACATGCGTTGCTGGAGTCTTCCACCAGCAGCCTCCCAAGGAAATCCTGGAGAACTGCGCCACTGCATTATTCACGCAGGCCGATGCATTTGAGGTAGTCATATGCTTGCATGTCAACATGCACAGCGCAGGTGCCTGAAGGGCTTCTGCCAACCGTCACCTTTTCATTGATGCAGCTCAGACGGCGAACATAGAATAGCCAATCGGCTTTTGTTTGGCTTTCGGCTCAGGATAGCATCGTCCAGGATGTCCAGGCATGCTCGGCTGGTAAGGCTGTCGGGTGCCGCCGAAATCCACGGCAGGCAGCAAGTCGTCGTCAAGAAGCTTGATGCGATCGAGTCTCTCGGATGTCGCTTGGCTCTATTGCTTAGTCGAAAGCAGGGACTTCTTCCGTCAAAGTATCTATGAGCTCGAGGTTGGAGGGCCAGACATAGCTGCAGAGCCCGCCCTCAAACTAATGACTATATGACTATATCTGTGTTGTGGAAGTGACTGGGGACGGTGCGCTGCTCGATCATCCATCACGGTCCCTCCGTTGATTTGTTACATCCTACATCTGCAGGTGCGTCCGTCTTCTGCTCCGACAAAACTGGAACGCTGACGACTGGCGAGATGACGGCACAAGCCTCTGCTGGAGTGTACCGTGTCTGTCGGGAGAAGTCACAGCTGAGTCAGACAGATGCCACAGCCTACGGGTTGGAAGTCCTTCGATACCGGGCTGAGGTGCAACACGTTCTGGTACCCGCCGTAGGCGGAGCATCTAGGCGTGATTAAGAAGTTTGTAACTCATGTCCTGGACATCAGCAGCATCCGAGGCTACACTTTTCAGCATGCAGCAGCTGCAGGTGCGAGGAGTGTTTTTCTCGCTCACCCAGTGCTCATTGATGCTCGTTGTCTCCTCATCTCTTTGCACTGTTGTCTTTGCTTGTGCAGGCTGAAGTTGTTCGAGGCGACGTGAGGTTGCAGCAGCTTGCAGCCGCTGCACTTACGAACAACAGTGTTCAGGCCCTTCTTTCAGCTCTAGTGCTGCCGGTAGCTTGGGGAACTCCTTGCAGGCTTCGTCTGGGACTGGCAATGCCCAGGCAGGATGCAACACCATTGTAACATCTGACATCTGGGATGCTGTCATTCTCATTGCTTGCAGAGGTGGTGGGCTCCCCCACTGAAGTCGCCATTTGTAGAGCAGCTGCAACCATGCCCCTGGGACTTAATCTTGATGCTGCGGTGTAGCAGAGCCACGGAGCAGCTGCATTGCCACCGAGCCATGTGCTGCAGCACGCAAAGGGTGTTGCACAGTAAGCCTCACAATTCGTTGTGAGGTGAACTGTTTGCATCTCGTGGGTTGCGAGAAGAGCCAAAGTCGTCGTAGGTAGAAGCAGAAGAAGTAGAAGTCGAAGCAGTAATTGAGGTAGCCGCAGGAGCAGAAACAAGGACAACACATGTACTAGTAGCAAACCTCGTAAGAATCAGAGTAGTGCAGCAACGAAAACTTGGATGATGACCCCCAACGGCCAGGCTCGGAAAGCCGCTAAAAGAGGCGGTGACTTTTCCTCCGCGCAAGGACCGCAGCGGGGGTTTTTCCCTTTATCCAAGCCAGCAGTGGACCATGCGACCCATGGTGGGAATTGTGGTTGACTTTTTGCTAGTAGCTGACCCTGTCGCGTTCTGGATGAGACTGGGAAAGGTATGGAGGATGTAAGGACCACAAAATTCGGCAGGATGTGGTTTTCGACATTCCGTTCAACTCGGAAAACAAGTGGATGCTTACGGTTTGGGCCCAAGTGCAGTGATTCCATTGATGATACTCTTTGTTGGCCAGCATCCAGCAATCGAAGGTGCACAAACTTGGGTCAGAGGACCCTGCCGTCTCAAGTCCGCCCGGTCTGTATAGTCGAAGTTGTTTGGGTTTTGTTTGACTCTGCGGAACAAGTCGGGTGCTGGAGGTATTCCAAAGCCTGCTTGTTGCTCGCGAAGAGATGTTGATTTGTTGATGGACCACCTTCAGGACCCTTGCTACGAAGTGATCGTGAAGGGCGCGCCCGAGAGAGTGTTGGACTTGTGCACGGCCAACGAGCAAATTTTCAGCAACCTGCGCAGCTGGGATGCAACTTTCAGGTTTCATCAGTCGAGGTGGAGTTGTATGCTGCGGCTGTTGTGTCTCATGTGTGCCGAGGCAGCCTCATGGACAGGCACGGGGTATTGTCTTCTTGTGAATTTTGCTTCGGCTGTGTGAGTCGACTCGCCAGGGGACTGGGGGTACTTGCTCTGGCTGGACGGAGACTCAGTGCCCAGGACATTCCACGCAGCGGAGAGTTCCAAGGTGGGGTTAATTACATGTGGGAGCTCTGTTTTGCACCTTGTGAAGCTTACCACTGAGTGCAGGTGGTTGCCTGGCAAGTTGCAACTTCCCCTTGCAAGACTGTAGCTTTCTCGGCTTCTTCGCGATGGAGGCTCGTTGAAGCTGTTGTGCCTTTGCGAGCTGGACAGAGATCTGTGAGTTTGCGAGGATCCTCCGCGTCCAGGCGTCCGTGAAGCTGTTGAAAAGGCTCACTCCGCAGGTGTCAAGGCTCGGAAGCAGCTCTCAGAGTCTCAGTGGTTCTACTTGAAGCCGCTGCGCTTCGTCGACCGCAGGTAGTGATGGTCACAGGGGATCATGGGGACACCGCCAAAGCCATCCCCAAGAGATTGAACATCCTCTCTAGCACAGCGAAGCTATGCCGGGAGAGCGAGCGCTTTCAGGCTCGCTTGGATTCTCAGTGCCCGTTCTGCAAGACTTCACGGAACATGATGTGGTGCAAGGTGGTGCTTGGATCTGAGCCTGGGCAGGTTGTACTTCTGTCAAACTTAGAAGAGACACGTTCCTTGTCTAGGTTGTTTACGGTGTTTGCCCTGCTTTATATTGTGTGCTCAGGAATTGGACGAGTTCCTGCCGCTCGACGATGGGTTCGCCCGTCTTGAGTCAGACAGCAAGGCCGAGGGGCAACATGGCAACTGCTTTGTCGATGTGGGTTGCTGAATGGTCGTCTGCTGCACAGGAGTTCTGGCGCGAAGCGGTTGTTCACACGAGGTGCGGATCTAATCTTGTGCAGGGTCGGAGGACCAGCTGGGAGTTGCACGAGCAACATGTGCAGTATGCGGTTGGAGGGCCGAACTTGAGTCCTGCAGGGTGTTTGCCCGTGTCTCGCCTTTGCACAAGCGGATCATCGTCCAGGCTTTCGGGAGATTTGCTGTTGTTGATGTTGATGCGCTGCATGGCACCTCTTCAAAATCTGGTATCGAGGCCTACCAAACCTTTGGCCAACAGGGCTTTGGTGATGTCGTCGCAATGACTGGAGACGGCGTCAATGATGCGCCAGCTTTGAAGCAAGCCGAGGCTCAAGCTCGGCTCGGTTCGGCCCAGGCTGTGTCCTTCCCTTGGCTTTTGCACGGTCAGGTGGGGATTGCCATGGGGATCCGGGGGACGTCTGTGGCGCAGGCGATCCAAAAACCTCAGTGTATTCCGAAACGCGAGCTCGCAACTCACGCTTGTTGATGAATTCGCCATCTTTGGTCGCGGAGGATGCTGCGGACATCATACTGCTCGATGACAACTTCTCTTCTGCAAAGAGCTTGGTCCACATGCAACCTGCGGCCTCGCATTGCACTGTACAGGGCAGCTGCTAAGGCGATCTCAGGCATGGAGCAGGGTAGACTTGCGAGTGCCTTGGCTGACCTTGGTCGATTTGCTACAAAGGTCAGGATGAGATTGCAGGTTGAAAGAATCATGACCTGAGTATTGGCACTTGGGGCGGATGAGGAGACTCATCCACTTATCCGGCCTTTCCCGAGTGATAGGAAGGCACTTGCATTATTTCCACAGCCTGAGCGAGAGGCTTCAAAAGGCTGCTTGCCCTCGGCGCACCGATGACTTTCTTTCATCCTTGTGTTGCCGCCCCAACGACCCAGTAGATGCAAAGCTCGAAGAAAGCTTAACCGGGTGTTCTGATGGCGGCTGCTTATACAGCAATTATCGGTTTGGGAGGTGGGTCGGTTTCGTGGCCGATCAGGTATGTTGCCTTCGTGTGGGGCTGGGGCAGTTGGAGCTGCAGCGGCTGTGGGGGACGAAAATTTGCTGTTTCAACATGCGCAAAGCAAATCATCCAGAGCCTTACGCCTCAATGGCCGATGCCACGCTTGCTGCGGGGTGCTTCGAACTCTCGAAAACGTCACTATAATTTCCTGCAAGGTGAGAACTTGCAGAAGTCGATCATGTACACGCTGTGTTCCAAAGTGACTCATGGCAAGCATTTTCTGTTTCATCAGCAGAAATGATGTCATGTGTAGCTGTGGTGCGGCCTTCTGTGGACTTCTGGAGGCCACAAGCGTTGCCTGCTTTCTTCGAAGTCTTCGGACTGCCGGAAGTACTTGCCGCAGTGCAGGCCACCAGACATGACTCTTAACTTAGGGGCACGGCCTGTGTGGCAGGTCCTGCTCATCGACATCGGCACGGACATTTGGACTGCCGCCCCTTGGACGCGCGAAGCCGGCGGAACTGATTGGGCTGAGTAGTGCCACGGCTACGACATCAGGTTTCCTTGTTATTTTGGTCGCCCGTCCTGCCGAGGTCGCCTTTGCAGCTCAAGGTCCAGAAACTTCGCTGATGAACAGATCGCCACGACATCCACGACTGGAGCCTTCATCGTGATTTGAGATCTGTTTTTTCGTGAGCTTGCTGCTCGTTTGTACACTGTGTCTTGGCCTCAATGCAACAGAACATTCTGGCAGGAGCGCATGATAAGCTCAAAGATCCTGTTGTACAGTTACGGCTATATCGGGGTGCTGCAGGCTGTATTCTGCATCCCGACGGCACGGCACATGTGCTTGTTCAACTGTTAGCTGTTGGCAGGACCGTGAGGCTGTTGAACACGTGAGGCTGGATGATGTACTTCCTGGCCACTCCAGGAATCGGCAACCTCGTACAGGCGCATGATGACCTGAAAGACTACACGCAGGAGGCAGGGTTGGCATCTAAAGATCGGCACATCTTTCAACATCCACACTCAGGAGACAATCTTGGAGAAGCGCGGTATGCGACATGACTTGCAATTGGCAGTTTTGATGTTGTGCCGCGGGCCGTCGGTTTCTTTTGGCAGTGCCTTCCATATAGTCTTGCGATGGGTTTTGAGCTCAGGACCGTCTACTACTGGACGCTGGTGCTTGGTCAGGTGGCGGCTGCGCTAGCCTCTACGACCAAGCGGCAGCCACTGTTCGGCTCAGGCGATTCGTGTTGGATTCATCTCTTGGCTTGCAGTATGGCAAACTTGCAGAGCTTGGTTTCGGACCGGCAGTATGACCCAAACGTGAGGGCACAGATACCAGGCGGTGTCTTCGGCTCTAAAGCATTGATGTTCAGGCGGCTACGGGTTTCCGAACCAAATCCTCAACATCACTCTTTGCTGCGAAGTGGTGCTGAGCCTCATGGACCCTGGGCATGCAACTCTCGTGTTGGCGGTACAGCTTCAGGTACAGTCATCGGATGTCTTGTGTAGAAGGTGTGCTGATGCCTTTATGCTCGTCCTGGCTGCAACAATCCTAGCTTGGAAGTAGGCTTCCCTGTGGGCACGGGGCACGGCTTGGGTCTCGAAGATGGACCAACTGTATTATCCTGCATGCGTACATGCCACGTATTGTTGTTAGCACCTGCTTCGGGCGAAAGGTGCATTCGGTTCCAAGTCGCAGAGTAAACACATACATTGTATGGGGAGTCTTGGGTTCCTGAGGGAAAACCTGGAGTTTAGCACCGTGATGGGGAGCAGCTGCCGTACGTGGGTCGTTCGGTTTTGCGCGGAGGGTACAGCTACCATGTCGCACCTGTTGCATACCTCTGCATAGTCAAGAGGAAGCGCAGCATCTCGACTTGAGGTGATGCACAGCTCCATGCTGAGGCCAGCTTTCGAGAGACTTGACTGCAGCATTAGACGGGCATTAGCTAGCAGCAGCCGATGTAACAGTTTGCAGACGTTTTTGTGTGTGGATTCATAGAATTCCGGAGCCATGTCAAGCGGCGTGGCCTGAGGATGGAGCGTCTCGATTTCTGGCCCGACGCTCAGCATTTATATATACATATAGATTAGATACATATGTGACGGGGCTAATCGGCCCTCACGCGTTGCCTAGCGCTGCTGGACCCTCTGGATGCAACGGCAGAGAGAGAGAGAGAGAGATTAGATACATACACACACATATATCTATACACACATTCATGTGTGTATGTATATACATATATACACATGTATCTAGACGTACGAAGTCACTACGACGACGACAGCGTTTCACGCTGACTTCTTGTTCGAAACAAACTGTCGCCTTCATGATGCTGCTCCGTTGTCCGCAGTGGTGGCAGCCAATGGATGCAGGGTCCGCGGATACGGGATCAAACAAGGGTGAGTGGAACTTGCTGCATGATGGGTGCACATGGCTGATGGCACACGGCACTGCATCCGCCAGAGCGACATCGAATGAGACAGGTCCATGTGAGCAAGCGGTAATTACCAACAACTGCGTGTTTTCGATGTAGGCCTTCGCTGGTGTTGCCCGTCGTCGCGCTGGCTGGCATCCTCGCCGTGGAGGAGTTGGGGCCTTGGAAGAGCGATGTTACTCTTGCTTTTGCTTTCCTTTTGGCTGCTAGTGTTACTGCTGCGGCTGGGGCATATAGTCGCTGCCCTGTAACTTCCTGCTGTAAGTAGTCATGCGCTGACCATGGACTAACGCACTGGCTCGGCTTAGGCCAGATCGACCTTTAGCTTGCAACCCAAGTAGCTGTGGAATGCTAGCGGAGAGGATAGCCTCAAGGAGCTGATGAGCTGATGATGTAATTTTCATAAGTATCTCTGTGCAGTGCTGTCTCGAAGCTAGTGCTGTTGATGCAGACTCCCGGCACAGATGATGCAATCGCCTGACTCGCTCAGGGGCCGCAAGCGCTTCGGCCTGGGCTTCTCCTTCTTGCAGTTCTAGGTGACCTGCAAATCTCCGCATGAGCTCTGCATGGACCTTCTCGATGCCAACCTGTGCGCGGACAAGTTGAGCGAGATGAGGCGCTCGTGAACCAAGTAGCTGAGCCCGAAAGAGCAGAGCAAGCGGACCTCCGTGACCCAGAGATCGGCATGTGCATACGCGACCTATCGATTTGCCAGCAAAAAACATTGCGCGAGCCGTTGCATCCGGTTCTGGTAAATTGCGAGGGTTACCATCGTTGATGTGATTCCTACCGGCGATTGAATGAGATCGCTCGCTGTTGCTCAGTAGTTTTACAAAAGGCATTCTGGCAGGGGTTTGAGCCGCGGCTGACGGGCAAGGGGGTGTCGTCGCCTCGATATTGAAAGAAGTTAGTCCGACAGATCAGAGAGAGGAGGCTAAGTTGCACTTTGTGCTGCAAACGACCCGAGTTCAGGTCTATGACCGCCCGCTGGCGCACGTGTTGGCTGCTGCTGCTCCTGCATGTATGCCCCAGCACCGTGCTGGCTTACCCCTGCGAGGTTGGATGCCGTACTGCAGCAATAGTTGGCAGCCTCGCGACACCGCGTGTCAGGCAGAAATCGCATCAGCTTGCCCCGACAGCAACGACCTTAAATGCACGAGTTGAGTGTGGATCCTTGCTTGCGAGTCGTGAGAGTCGAAATAGAGTCTTCATGAGCTTGACCCGCAGAATGCGTGAGTGCAACGATGTCTGAGCCTATCCCGTCTGGAATTCGTCTACTTAGGTCCGAAATCAGAGCTGGTAACATGTCTGAAGGACGCTTCGCGAGAAGAGCAGCTTTGCGGGATGCTTGAGCGCCCGCACAGCAGATCTGCGAGGATGCAAGCCAGCACGAGACACCGACGGAGATCTCTTCCGAGTGCCTGCGTCTTACGGGCCCTCTTGCATTCCCACAAAAGCAACAGCACGAAGTTCATCGCAAGCAAACTCGCACACCATTAGGCGCTTGTTTTGTAAGTATTGCTTACCATGGACCCAGTGGAAGCTGAGTACTGCAACTTTTGCAGGGCTAGGTCCCACTGCAACTCATAATTCATAACGCAAAGAATTCGGAAAGGCTTCCGTCCATTTCCATCCTCCGTCCAGCACCACTGCCGATACTGAAATGAGTTGCCTGTGCAAGCACTCCAGGCACGGATTTTATGGCACTCAACTCAGCCTGCGCAGACGAGATAGAGCAGCTTTGTGACGAGGATGGGTCCGACTAAGTTGCCACATGCTGAAACTCAGTGCGTGCAAGACCGTCAGAGCCCCCTGTACTTGGACCCGTCATATTCTTCTCGGTTACTGTGTGATGCCAGGAGTTCTTTGCCGAAGAGACCATGCCCTGCTTGATGAGATACCGTGCTTCCGACGAGGCACAGGAGGGTTTAGAATGACACAGAACGACCCACCAAGCCTAACGGCTGCAACACTTTATTGTCTGTGTGTTGGAAGAGTGGCCAGGAGATTTCGGAGAAATGCCAGTCGGCCAACGGGCTTAGTTGGCTGGATGATGCAAGAATACAAAAAGACGGAGTGCCTAGAACTCCAGGTGATGCGTTGGGCGCTCCCTGCAGACGAGGACGGGGGGCCACCGCTTTTGCCGTGGCTTCGTTCTTGCAAAGACGTGGATGACTTAGATGTTTCTACCAGGAGGAGGCCGAGGCTGTGACCGACGAGTTGGGTATGTCAGAGAAGGCCGAGCCGAGCCGAGCCGAGCCGAGCCCCTTCGGACTTGACTTTGCGGGGCTCGGATGCTCGCATTGCTCGCCAGGACCGACAGGAAAAGGAGGAGTGGCGGGAGAAACGGAAGAAGGAACGCGAGGCAGCCATAGAACGGATGAAGATGAAGGTCTCGGCCCCGGATCCTGACATGATCATATGCCAAACTGCGAAACACGAGCTGTTAACCAGGAGGTTGATGCAAAGAAGGAGCGCCTTGTGATTGCATTCTTGACTTTGATCTTCCCAGCCGGTCGACCTGTGTCTCCGCAACGCAAGACCCACCAGGAAGCAGAGAGAAGAGAGCTGGAAAAATTCAAGGAAGAGAACCCTGAGGCATCCCAGCCCTGCACGTAGCGCAGTCGGACAAGCATCGCAACGGTGCGGCAGGCATTTGCGGACATGTGCACCCCTAAGCCGCGCTTTGCTCGTGTGCAGAAGTTCATATTTGGTTTCCTGCACTTGTGGTGCAACAGACCAAAAATTACCAAGGAAGAGGCAGCAGGCAGAGGAGCAGAGACAACAGGCTGAGCAGAAGAAAAGGGAAAGACTTATGAAGGCCCTGCCGCATGCTGTCATCTTTGTGCCAGTGCCAGAAGTTCAAGCCAAGCACCTAGTGAACGGAGGCTGCATGGGAGCGGAAGAAGCGGATTGAGGCTGTCGCCTCGGGCCCTGAGATACGGAGATGTCCGGCATGTCACCTAGAGGCTGGTGAGGACCCAGATGCAGAATCAGGCCTTGGCAGACAGTGAAAGTGTGATCGAAGCGAGCTCTCTGGCTCGAAGGGCCCTCCCCTCCGAGCAGGGGCCCGAACAGAAAGCCGAAGGCCCTGTGATGCCCAAGCATGTGAAGCATATTGAAGCATGATGTGTGTTCGACCCTTGGAGACTCGCACGTTCCCAAGCGAAGGCTTCGAGCTCGTGGTACAGCACGATCGCCGCCTTGATAGTTTTGGTCGTCATTGCCGGAATAGGTTATGTTGTAGTCACAGGCTGGCCGGGTGCGGGAATCTCACTGGGAATCTTACCGTCGCCTCTTTGTCAGAGGCACAGGCAAGACCGCTGGAGCTGGCGGGGGCCGTGGCGGAAAGGAAAAGAAAAAGAGCTTTGGCTGCAGATCGGCACCCCCACTGGTGAAGCAGAAACATTGCAAATACATCACCGAGGAGATGACCGCAGCGAGGTTCTTCGGGCATCCTGCTTCATGCGGGCTCCATGGCACTGGCATTCATTAGAGTTGGTGCAATCTTGCCTCAGCCTGTGGCTTGCAGCTCACGAGGCCTGCAGCTTGGTCTGATGATACCAACTGCATCTATATACGGCCTGGGATATACCATGGCTGCCTGGAGCTACCCGAGAACGCAAGGAGCCAAAGACCGGAGCAGGTGGAGTCCCTGCTAGTGTGGATGCTCATGTTTAGCCCTGCACAGAACTGATTGCCATCGCTGATCCAAAGAGAAGGCGCATCAGCATAGTAGAAGGGCGTTGTGCAGCCTGCACTTGAGCAAAAGATCCTGGCTGCTTTGGAAAAAACCGACAGAGTGCATTCGAGTGTACTGTAGACGCGTGAAACCCGTGCAACAAAGGTTGAACAGCCTGTAGAGACTCGGAACACCGCTTTCGACTTCCCGGCCGAGCTTTTTGCTCAGACCAGGTCCAAGTGCTGCAACGGCCCATGACCATCACGTGCTCAGCAGCTTGAACCTTGGCCATTAAGCCATCATGCATGCGGCAGCATAGTGTCTCGATTTGGCAAAACATGCGAACTCAACGTGATGGTCTCCGACTATACGCATTGGAAGAAGAGACGGCAAAGCATAACAGCTCTAACTACACGATCGAAGCACGGGACGAGCAGACCAGAATAGACACTGTGCAGCCTCCCGGAGTGTGTGAGACACCTGGACACATGGTGGCCTACCCAGCACAAAGGATATGAGTTTTCCGGATCGCGATACCACATCCAGTTTCTGTGAGCGGTGACAGGGTAGGAAGAGTTGGTGGGCTCAGCATCTCGTTGCGGCTCCGGCCAGGCGCTGGGTGTCGCAAAGGCGAACTGCCAGGCCACGCGGCCGCAATGCAGTGAGTTTCAGGAAGATTTGCAACCCGGCCCGCTTGCAACCTTCGCCCAACTGTCGGCTGAGTGCGAAGGCAGAAGCCAGAATGCCGAGGAATGTGTAAGTGGATGGATTCACAAAATCTAATACCCGCCACGACGTGTCAAGTCCCCGACATGACCAGACAGTGCGAGACACAAACTTAGCAACGGCCCTTCGCTCCGAAGAAAGGCTTAAGCCGACTTGCGACCTCCCTGAGGCCAACAGCGACATTACCCAAATGCTGATTGGTGGCTACAGCGCATCTGCAGCTGCAGTTTGCTCGGAAAACGCACTTCGTACCATGGGATTGATGACAGAAGCGCTGCCAACAGCTGCTGAGTGCTCAGGTTCCAACTCCAGCGCCTGCCGCTGCCCGAGTTCCAGCACTGCCTTCCAGTGCATGGCCTGGCCATTACAAGCCCATCAGGACAGGCCAGCTCTTGTGCCAACTGCTCAATGCAGTTTCTTCTATGGGTGCAGCCAGGAGAGTCAAGTTCACAAGTGTGGACGAGGTTTGGGCATCGTCCTTGTGGCGGGTTGATGAGTCTTGACGAGCTGGCCTGCAGGTGCTAGAGCTCATGAAGCCTCAATCTGCTGCGGGTGCCCCGCTGATCATTGAGGGTTCCAGCATCATACAGGCCAGAGTCTATTATCAAAGCTTCCGCATCATTTGATTCACTGTGTGTCGGCAAGGGCCTCGGCTATTGGCTTCCGCATGTGTTGAAGGCTGAGAAATGGGAGGACGTCTCCCATGTCAAACGGCTTTGGAAGGATCGCCAGGCAACGCGGCCCCGTGATCCACAGCGTTGGCTTGCATTCACCATGGCAGGTGCTGGTCAAGAAGTCGCCCAACTCTAAGTTTCGCAACTCGGCTGTTTTTCTTTTTGAATATTTCTTGTTCGAACGGTGCCTCGGCATCAGATGCTTGGCATTTCCGGCCTACCCTGCGGACCGCACGAAGGATACTTTGACTTGAAGAAGAACTCTGGCAAGTTTACCTTCAAGCCGCATGGCAGGGTAGAGGTTTGGGTTCGTTCGTGTTCATGTGCTCTCTCGAAGTAGCCACAACAGCTCTGAGGCAGCCAGTGCGGGAGCTGCAGGCACGGCAGAAATGGCGCAACAGCAGAAGCACTTCACAGACAGCTGCAGTCAGGACACCTTCGCGACATTCCTGGAGCAAGCTAACCGGATACTTAGCGAAGGTCTGGGGCCGAGATGTTGAGATCGAAGTGGCTGCCGCTGCAAGTCCAGAAGCGTCCTTATGACCTCTCGGGGTGTACTTCTGGGAGCTAAAGATCGATAATTATGCTAGGATGGCAAGAACAGTACATCCGGCCACTTTGGGCTTGTCTCGGAAACTTGCCACGTGCAAGTGTCCGAGACGGCATGAAAGACGTATGCGACACTGGGAAGCCACACACAGACCGGAATGTCTCTACACGTTCAATGCCGATCAGCGCATGGCGAGGAGTAGTTTTCCCAACTACAAACACTATGGCAGCAACTAGTTCCAGCAAACGTCTGGCACAAAAGCCGACTCGCATCCCCTTGCAAAGGTCGATTCGTCAAGAACAGGGATTATGCGATTTGAATGGTGCAGGATCTCCTGAGCGGATGTACCTGCAAGAGACATTGTCCGGTCATTCAGAGATGGCCGAGGACCTGCGGGATAGTCGCAACAGCAATTCCTCCGATCATCCGATCGCCCCCGGAAATCGAGGAGTTTGCTTCTTGGAAATGGGAACTTCCAATTCGAATAAGTCACGCTTGCGGCTGGGGCCTGCCAGATTCCAACGACTCTTTTCCGAGATTCATGCACGCGTTGTTTTCGTTCCCGGCTTGGTGGGTTCAAGATGGCTTGCTGACAGCACGTCCGTTGGCTCGTTGTCCACTGGCCCTTGGGCGACGAGAATTTGTGTCTTTGTGGCAGCGCTGAGCTTAGGAGCTATTCATTGGAATGCAGGGCGCCGAGACGCCACTTCATTTTGATGAGCGAGAAAACTTGTTCTTCCAGGCGGGCTGCTTTTGTCGAGAAATCAGAGGCCGCATCGTGCCTGATCGCCAGGTCAGAGGGCTGAAGGAAATCGTGGTGTTCCCATTCGTAGATTATTCGAAGCTGTATCCCTTCCCAACCACGCACCCTTGCGATCGGCAGCTTCTTGGCTGCATCACGAAATCACCTCTCTAAAATTATATGCTACTCGCGTGTTTGCCGGCATCAATCGGATGAGTTGGAATGCATCAGCCGAGGTCCATGGTAGGGAGCCCTCTTGAGGCGGACTTGGATGCATTCCCGAAGTTTAGACATGCCAGTGGACACTACGCCACGCTGCAAGCCGCTGCCTCAGCTCCCGGTTGTTTTGAGTTTCAGACTGTATCGGATTGCTTGCGCAGTCAGGCTGGTGACCTACTGTACCTGCGCCTCGGACGCATAGAGCTGTGATGGCTCCAAGCTGCGTCTACCGAGCTCTGGAGGCCTTACGGTTGGTGGCATTGGCTTCGCAATCTAGACTCTCGGCACCTCTTGGCATTTGTCAAACTGGAGCAATGTCGACACTGCTTCACACCAATGGCTGTGCACTGACACTGTTTCTCGCGAGGACAACATGGCAATTTCGGTGTCGTTTTGGAGCACCACTCCAGCTACCGATTTGTCCGGCGGACACTCGCTGCAGACCGACTGCCGCGTTGCTTTGGGGAAGCTTGTATCTTGTGTACGATGCCTGTCAACTTTTGATCCCAGGTGTACCTTCCGAGTTCTCGGACCACATGCTCACCCGCGTCGCGTGTCTAAGGGCGTATCGATGCAGCGGCTGCGGCATTTCACGGAGCAGCTATGAGCAACTCGTGTGTTTTCTTGACATTGAGGTCAAACGCAACCTGGAGAGAACTCGGGCAGCAAGTCCATCTTTGCCTTGCCCATGCTAAGACTGGTACGGCCCAGGCCTTGTGGCCCAGAAGTTTGGCCCGGAAAGCCTTGATGAGACAATGCACCTTGGCCTAAGCGCTGCTACGTCCAGCCAGCGCGAGCTTAGCATGGGCACATGGAGAACTCCCTGAAAGGCTGAAGCTGCAGAGCATCGTCCGCAACAAGCAGGATCTCAGAATGGGTCACACCCACATCTACCCAGATCTGCTCTGCACCAGTCACCAAATCCGTGCTCAGCTGCAGGACGATCCGGTTCTGAATTATGTCCGTGAGCTCATGGCGGCTTGATGATAGGAGGGTGCGTTTGGCGAGCCAGGTCTTCGCGTTCCATTCTTCTCATGACAGTCGGCCAGAGCAATTCTCCAATGTCACATGCTGTTCTCAGGCAGCTGTGAAGATCCCGCTGCCGAAGCAGGCTCGGCAGGGCCCAGCCGAGGGACTCAAGTAAAATCATGCTTCCAAAAGCCAGTGACAGTCTTTCGCGTACGCCTGCGTGCACTTGTTCATGTGTTGCTGGCTGCTTGTGCGCATGTTTGGGAGAGGGGCGCAATGTCTCCCTTGAGCTCCCATGTTCGCAATTTGCGCTCGCTCCCCGCCCCCGCCCCCGCACACGCACATTGCTGTTACTAGGATGACTTCCTGCTCGAGATCATCGAGGGCAGGTTCGGCATAGACTGGAATACTTATGTGCGTCCTGGCAAGAAGACGCACCGACCATGCTCGCTTGTCGTTGACTGGCACGTTTTACACCAGTCTTTACCTCAGGTGAGTTCCGCCTGCCATGTGCATTACCAAAGATATGAGATGATGGCGCCATCGTTTCTATGTCGCGGCCATGCACGCACCTGCGCATTCTTGCATTTTTTGCCAGGGTTTGCTGCAGAAGCATGTTGTGCATTGATGCCCAACCTGTCCAAAGCACTGAAAATGGGCTGTAAATTAAAGGCCCGTGTCAGATCGGGAACGGAAAGGGTTGAAGAGCGGCGGCAGACAGCTGTCACTTGATCCCCTGCCCGAACTCACATAGACTCAAAGACTGCGTGCTTTTTACAAAATGCTGCCATGTTTCGGGCATGTCATGATGTGAGCTTTCTTCGCTGGTTTCTGCTCATGTACTTTGCCTGGACTTGCTGGGCTCGAAGGGTGGTGTAACGTGGGAGAGGTTCGTGCCCCTTCAGAAAGCTGCATGGCCAGATATTTGTGTGAGTCGTGTGAGTGTTTCGCTGGTTGGCAATTGCCAAAGCACATCGCTTTGACTCTGTAGGCCAATGATGAGAGTTTGCGCATCTGCCTCAGCCCCGAAAGCGCCGAAACACACATCCTGCTTTGTGCAAAGCTCCGAAGCTCCAGCTGAGATGACCGCGGCCCTAGCGGCAGTTGCAGCAGCGATTCCTCAGCCTTCGCCCTGGCCACCTGTGCCTGGATCCCTGCGTCTAAAGAAGAAAAGACAAAGAGACAGATACGTGCAACGACGTCCAGCGCTTTCTTCAGCTTCAGTTCAGGTTCCATGCGTACATGTTGAAGAACCGCAGCGGCCAGCTGCGCAGCTTGTGCAGCAGATTACAGCACTTGGCGATCTGCGTGCAAGCACGGCCTGCATCAGGACACACCGACCTTTTCTATGATTGGCCCTACGGTGGCAACCTCCATATTGACAGGTCCGTGCTCTGCGTGCTAAGTGGGCTCCTTCTTGATACTTCTCGCTGCGAGATGTGTTATGTGCATGGACAGGGGGAGTAGCATACCCCGATAGAGTACTCTCCATAGGAACGGCGCTCCCAGCCATGCCCCGTGCTGCACCTGCATGCGGACTTTGCGAGAGGAGCCCTGGACAAGCACCCTTCTATGACAACGAGCGCCAAAACGGCAGCACGCTGCGCACTCAAGAGCTATATCAAGCAGCTGCCGGTCCTATGATGATCTGAGTGATCTGTGTCATTTGTGGAAGGTATTACTACACACCAAATGGTACCTGCAAGGCCGGTTTAGTGCCATGAAAGAGACGAACTCAGATGCATTGTGATGTCAAGGTCATAGAGATGGGCGTGGGGCTTTTGCCGCCAAACTGGCTGGAGGATGCCCACTATGGCGGAAAGCAAGCCGCAACTTGACCGAGGGTGGGGCGGATTTCCGTCGTCTTATCTCTAGGTCGCGTTCATAGTGGACACGTGGACTCTGACACCGACTGAATCGCGCTGCCGTTTGCCTTGAGTTTCGAGGTTGTGTCACCGACAGATCAGTCCATTCGAAACTGTCGCCTCCTCGATTTGTTGTGTGCCTCGTTGTGCAGGTTGCAAGCGTCAGGACATCGCAGGAGTTTCTCTCGTTAAAGGTTGATGAGGCCGGTTGCGAAAAGTGGCCGTGCATGTTATGTGCGGCTCGAGCGGGGCTTTAGGCCCGCGCACATTCACCGGGAACTTACCGCAGCAAGCCCTTTTGGCATGCTTTTCATCACAATGGCAGCCAGCCGTGCTGCCGGGCATCGGCTCGCAGCACTATCTCTACTGGCAGCCACATCCCTGGGACAGCAACTTGCAGCATGTAGCCGAACGTGTCTGTTGTTTCCTCATACTGTTTTGGGATGTGCCAGAGCAGAACATTCAAGGACAGCGGATGGCACATGCGCCAAGGGGGCATCCATGTTTCAGATGCGCTCGGCGGTGTTCGGCACCAAGCCGGAAGTATGTACGCCGCTGAAGAATCAAGGCAGCGGATGTGTGTCAGTGTGAGCACCCGACTGTATTATGTGGCAGGTCACGAACTACTAATGTTATGTTCTGCCTGACGACAAGCATGCCAAATGCTTTCGTTTGTGTTTTTGATCTTATTTTTTCACAGGCTGATACTTCGTGTGATGCTGCGTTAGATTGTTAGATGGCGAGATGTGCGTCCAAAATTATGTCTTGCAATGGAAGTGACGGCGGCTAAGTTGTTGAGCCCGAAGGAGGCGAAGCAGAGAAGTCCGAATAATCAACCGTGTGGGGAGGTCGGCAGGCAACGCAGATTGGCAGAACGCAAGAATGTAAGAAAAACGAAAGGGTCAAAGTGAAGTGACAAACAGCCGGGAAGGTGTGAAGCCGACAAGGCCTAGCCAGCTCGCGCACAGCCGAAAAGAACCCCAGGACCGCAGGTGCAGTCAAGAAACGAGCAGCAGGTTGGTTGGATAGTTGGTTTGCAGGCTTGGCTTGGCCATCACTTGCAGGCACTTTCTTCTCGGCAGAGGTGTGTGTTGGCACACCCCCTCAATGCTTCGACGCAGTTGCGGACACCGGCAGTGACAACATCATTGTGCCATCTTGCGTCTGTGACGAGGTACAGAGCACCGGATGTGGCAGGCATGACAGGTGCTTCCGAGGAACGAACAGGTCAACAACCTTCTCCATTCCATCAAACCCGACCATCGCCCAGCTGACTTTTGGTAGCGGCCCAATCGAGGTGGCTGTGGCCAGCGACATCGTCAACGTCTCGGGAGTTTCAGCCACCATGACAAACGGTTTGTTGCTGATCCTCAGCCGAGCAGCTCTGGAGGTGTCAGGGGAGTTTCAAGGCATCCTGGGGCTGGGTCTACCCCAAGACCCTGCCGCAGCTTACGCTGACTCTTCAACGGTTATGGCCAAAACCCAGGAGCCCTACTATTCAGGCATCATGGAAGCCGTAATTTGCTTGATTTTTCCACAGCTCTGTGCTGCTGCCGCACCAAAGACGCAAGTCCAACCGCTTGAGACCAGGCTGTTCCTTGAAATGGCACACATCGATCGCTTTTCGATGTGTTTCCAAGACGGAGACCGACCTGGCGCCTTGAGATTCAACATCCCTGCGCTGTCACGGCCCATCCCGCAGGTTGGAAAGCTGCACTGGGGTATCAGCTTCCATGGTTTGTCTACTGGCCCTCGAAACGGGCCTTCGGATGAAGGCGTTCTCTTTTGTGGTCCGGAGACAATGAGTAAAGGCATGACCAGTCCATGTGGCATCATCCCTGATTCCGGTACGACGCTGATAACTGGACCGTCGCAGCAGATAAAGCTCTTGCAAGCGGAGCTCTGCAGCAAGTGGCCCAGGTGCAGAGAGCAAGCACGTGGGCGGCCCAGCGCCTTCCATTTTGGCATGGTGCTACAGAACTGCTCCCAGTGGCTACACGAGTCGGGCTTGGCCGAGATTCCTTCAATTTTCTTTCACATAAAAGTGGCCGAAGACCGAACAGAGCTTTTCGAATTGACGTCTTGGGCGTGGGTTACACAAACCGTGGTTGACAACAAGTCGCTTTGCATGCCAGGCTTTGGCGAAATGGAGTATACGACTGCGGAACATGGTCCGGTGTGGATCCTGGGAACACCGCTTTTCTACGAGTATAATGTGGGCTACGACTTGCAGAACCGGCAGGTATCACTGGAGCGAGGTGCTTGTCAGCCCTGCACATCAGACACTCTACTCCTGGCGGAATCCAACTCCAGGCTAGTGCCCCGCAAGGGGAAAGGTGTGCCTAGGACAGCACACATGGACATCAGCCGCCCTTTGTGACAGATTGTGTTGCTGGAGTGGAAAAGTGAAAAGCACATGGCAGCTTGCCACTGCAGGGAGCGGTCATCTAGTCGTTACACATATGCACCCAACCAGGTCATGTGTGGACGAAGGGTGATGCTATGGGAAACTACACAGGCCAGCCAGCTTCGTAGGAGTTGTAGAAATGCAATTCGTCGCCAGTTGAAGCGTCTGAAGATTTCAATGGCCAGACCGACAGACTCACGTCACTAGGCTGTTTGCAGGATGTCCTGACAGCTGAAGCAGGTCCCTTCATCACCTACTTTGAAGATGAAGTGACAAAGACACCAGCACGTCCGATGCACGTTTTTTTGGGGATTTCGCTGTCTGTCTGCGATGTGGTTGCAGCCGGCTTTGTCCTAAATCGGTTGCCAAGGTTGGGTCTTCTTTAATGGTATGTCCTTCGATATCCTTAGCTGGGAGCCCGGCAAGAAGGCCAGGAATGCCTGTGGGCTTCGAGACGAAAGCCGATGGCTAAGACAAAGAGACTTCGGGCAACACTCATGGCTTAGGACAGTGTGAGCTGTATCTGGTAGGGACGATGAATTCACACCTGGGTGCTGAGACCCGGTTTAGTTTCATCGAACGTAGCAGACGTATCACAGCTGAGCCCACTTGGTCGTCCTCAACGCTTTCGTTATCTGAATAGACGGGCCCTGTGGATCCATGTCTGTTTTTTGTTCTGAGCGTGGCCACCGCGGGCGTATGCACAGCAGCGGCAGCGAGTGTCGCCGATAGCGAAGTGATGGACAGTATGATATAATGCAGTCAGGCCACCTGTGTGAAATTGGGTTTTGAGGATCGATCTGTGTCACGACGAGCTGCGCGGTCAAAGACTTTCAAACGCTGCTAGCAGGGGAGGCAGTGCACCGCAGGGACCAAGAAGACCCAACCAGCCTCGCAATTCGCACAATGTTTATTACCGTGCTTTCTCCAGCGTGTCGTGGTGATGGCTTGCAGTGAAATACCACATATGACTGTTTGCAAGTTTTTCCAAGTCTTTGAACCTCTGCACCAACTTGCCAGCAACAATGTGGTCGCGAAGGCATTATGCTGATACTTCTTTAAGGGAGTGACAACAGATGATTCCGGCATGCATGCAGTTCCTGAGGACAACCTCTGTAGGAAAGCAGCAAAAGAGCAACGATAGACTTCCCACATCTTGCCAAATCATCTCAGTCATTGTCCAGAAAGTAGCCTTCCGAAAACCTTCAGTCACTCTAATTAGGATGCCTGAACAACCTTAGCCGAAACCTGGACTGATGCTGGCTTGCATCCTGTGGTCGACAATCTGTTCTGCCAAACTTACCCTGCAATGCGGGCTCGTCCTTGCTATGTAGGAGGGAAAAAGCCTATATTCGGAGAAGCACATTATCTGCAGGCGACACCGGCCCAGTGGCAGCACCTTGGACGCACAAGTGGAAAGCTGTTCCATAACCTTCCAGTCTCGTCTTTTGTGCAACCTGCAGCCCTACGTTCCTGGAAAGACCTAACTGCTTGCTCCTCGATTGACGGCTGCATGTTTCATTTCTCCAGGACCGTTTCAGCGTAATGTGATGTCTAGCGGCCACCAAAGCAGCTCAATGTCTTGCGACGGAACTCCTTTGTCACAACACCACGGTGGCTTGTGCTAAAGACTCCTTCCAGAAACCCTTCGACCATTTAGCTGATGACCTTTGCAGCATCCCAGCGTGGATATCTATCTATCTATCTACATGGGTTTTTTGCCTAAGAATGATCAGGCTGCAAACCTTCGGCCTCAAGCTATCTCCAGGTCTAACAGCATCCATGCAACCATCACAGAACTCGCGGAAGCATGCCAGCGACTTTAGCAGGAAAGTGCGGCACCTGAACTTGGGAGCAGTACTACACAGCCGAAGTGACGCTCATGTGTACATGCCGGTCTCTCAAGCATCACACTGTCCTCAACAAACACCCAAGAAACATTCGGTTGCATTGAAAAAGCTGGCTCCCCAGCCTGGCCTAGACGTAAATGTATCATTCTCATGAGCTCAAACTTGGACGTGCTAGAAGTACTTACCTGATCTGCGAAAAAAATTCCTGGTCTGTTTCAGTGCGTACTAGTGGCAGTCAGTCAATCACGTCTAGAAAGTCTGGAAGTGTTGAGACTCAGCAGCACTGAGGATTCCTGCATCTTGTTTCTCCAGTGTGGCCGCAGAGAGCCCTGCGCAATCTTCTGAGGTGTGGCGATTGACATCTTGCAAGTTTGCACGTTGCTAGTTTCAGGGCATGTGCGACCTCTTCTTTTGAGTCAGCTACATGACAGGTGGATTACCTTCACGGCGCGTCGAGATTGCATTTCGGCTGCAACGTAAGCGTAGGAGCTTGTTTCAATGCAGAGAGAGACAGAGCACTCAGACTTGCAAGGCAGAGCAGTCGCTCTGCAACTCCTCTGCTGATGTGACGTGGACCGTGAAGAAACCCGAATCGTTCGAGTGCGAGCTGCATAAAAACATGGCAGCTGACCGTCGGGAATAGGTTCGAGCAGGGTTGCTGAGATGTGGAGATGTCAGGATTTGCCGATTCTTGCTCAGCAAGCCAGGTGGTCCATGAGATTGTGAGTGCGTGAGGGCCACCAGTATCAAAGGGTCGAAAAAATGCCAGAAGAACTCTTGAGTTTTTTTGTTTTCCATTGATGGCATCGGACAGCAAAGCACCTCCTTTTCAGAAACTCGGCCTCTCCGCCATGGCGGTGCGGGGCTTCGAAGCCAGGGAGAAGAGTGTCCTGACACTGTGCCTTAGGATGCATCGAAAAAAGACCTCAATCAATCCGGACTCCGTTTCAGGCTTTCTATTCTATTGAAGCCGGATCCTTCACACTCCGCACTTTGTAGTAGCTGCTGAGGATCTATCCGAGAAGACCCCAGCAGAGGTTGGTTCTTCTTGGGCTAAAGAAGCGTGGGTTTGGACAGGGCAAATTGAACGGCTTTGGTGGCAAGCTGGAGCCAGGTGAGTGCCTTGAAGACAGTGCAATCAGGGAACTGCAGGAGGAGTGCGGGCTTACGGCAGATCGGGATGGACTGAACTGGCGCGGATCCTTAACGTACCTGTATGATACGAAGCCGAAGGCAATGGAGGTCAATGTTTTTGACTTGAACATGTGGAAGGGGGAGCCGGAGGAAACAGAAGAAATGAAGCCTGCATGGTACGGGCACGAGGACATCCCGCTTGATAAGATGTGGGCCGATGATGCCTACTGGCTCTTGCAATATTTGGACGAGCAGATGGCCACACCATTCGTTGGCCGATTCCGCTTCAAAGGCCACGAGGGCCCGGACAGCTGGGAGGTTTTGGAGCACTCTGTGGCCCCCCTGGTGCCGGCTTCAGTTCCGCGCTTCGGGCAGAGTGAGCCCGGAGCAGCACTCCTGGTCTCGACCGTCAGCTTCGTCGACGCTCCAAATGCTCGGCCGCTGGAGTCTTTCATCCGGTACCATTTGCGAAAGGGTTTTGCTAGGGTGATGATATTTGTGGACGATCCGTCCGACACCGCGACCCTTGATGTAGTCCGACGCTTCCCCACATCTCGTGTGTTGTACCGTGTGCGTGGAGAGGATTTGCTGCAAGCACAGCGCCAGCACTGTGCATCCTTCAAGAAGCTGGCGGGTTTCATTGACAAAGAAGTATCTGCACGCCAGCTTATTGATTTCGAGTTTGCCTCAACACTGGCTCCTTCCTTGGCTTGCCGTTGGATTTTGTGCTTGGATTCTGACGAGTTGTTCTATACTTCCGAGGATTCTATAGTTCCTCACTTCCAGATGCTAGAGTCGCAGGACATCCACCAGATGTCTTATCTCAACCATGCCTCTTGGCCACACAGTTTTGTCTTGCACTGTCTTGCAACTTGCTCTTTCTGGTCGCTGCAGCTTTGCATCAAATTTGCAGACTGAGGAAGGTGTGCCTGAGCAGCCCGAGACTCAGGATTATTTTGCGACGGTTTCGTTGTTCAAGCAGCACCAGTTCGCAGTGCCACTCACGGCCAAAGCTCGAAGTGGCCTGCGCTTTTGGATGGATCGATCAAAGCACGGCCAGTACTTCTTATTTTACGACAATGGCAAGAGCGCATGCAGAACCGGCTTTGGTGCAACACCCAGTAGCCAGCATCTGTGGCAATTGCCAGCAGGCCACAAGTCCTGCACTGCCCTAGCAGATCCTAGACGTATGGATGTCGAGGGGTTTCGGGAGTGCAGAGATCCCTGCATCCTTCACTTTCCCGTCTGTGGTGTCAACTGGCTACATGCGAAATACAAGACTCTTGGTGCTTTTCCAGACAAGTGGCTTGGAAATATGCCCCTGAATGAATCCTTTCATAAGGATGCGAGGGAAGCACATCTCTCACACGGGGATGCCCTGTCGGCATTGTTCACAGAGCAGGTCCTGCTTGATTCGGCACAAGCAGCCGCGCAAATAGCCTGTGGGACTTGCGTCAGACTGACAGAACATGTAACGGTCCTGGATTCAGTCCCAGCTGCAACAACCATGCCGGATTCAACTGCAAATCCGGCTCTCATCAACAGTGCAGTGGCTCAAGGTGATACTCTGGTTGGAGTGGAGCGTGGCTGGATCTTGTCGAAGGCTATGGGCTACTTATCGCCAGAACTCCAGTAATTAAGCGGACGAACATCCCGTTTGGAACGGCAATGGGTTCATGATGCATCAAAGCCGTGCCGTGCCGCTCATGTCGGTGATCTGACTGGCTGCTGACAGGCGTCGAGCCGAATATTCCGATATGAAGTGTTAGCCGAATGCTCTACGGCGCAACATCACAGGACGGAGAACGAGAAGAACATTGAAGGGATCTCCGTGCAAGGCAACTGTGTGCCTGAATGATGGTTACTGTTCCCTGCAACTTGACATCAGATCTTCTAGCGTTTGCATTCGCCAAACAAATTCTTCCCTGTTTGAAGCGATTTGCTTATCACTGTAAATCACTATGGATGGATATATCGAAATAGGATAATTGGTATTTGATATTTGATTGGCTCACATTTAGAACTAATAGATGTACACATATACATATATATGAATATATATATATATATCTATAAATCATTATTATAATATATATATATATACATTTTATGAAGAAGTATTTCTAACGGCTTTTGTAGTCATGGTAATAATATATGGTAATTATGAATAAATAAAATATTTACATTATGTGTCTTTTTAGATTATTATTAATGAATTATATGTAATGAAAAAATAAAATTAAATATTATAGGAATTCCGAGAAAAAGATAATTAAAATATTTGGAATTTACTGAATATTTCTATTCGAGTAAAGTAAATTTTAATGATAAAGGCTCGATATTTTTGGAATATTGAATAATACGATTTGAATTAATCTATATAATGATATTCGAAGAAAAGATTGAGATGTTATATAAATAAATAATATTATAGA